AAAGCAATTACGAACGATTTAGACCCCCTTTCCTCCTCTGTTTAAATCCGCAACTGGATTCGTCATTGGTTTATTTTGATCCGACGTCGAGAACTTTCGTCTGGCATTTCCTAAAGTTTACCCGTACGTATTCATCCGTGAGCACGTCTCTGAAGGAAGAGACGTAGATCGTCCCATGGACGAATTTTTTAAACTATGTTAATTGCTACTTCGCTGAACTGAGGTATTAAATTCTCGCCATTCCTCTTGTTCGTCATTCACGATTCGTTGCTGTGACGCGAAACTTGTAGGATTTTCTCGCAACAGATATTACGTCTTCTTATTACGTCGGATATCGAGAGGCATCTGGTTGGAGTACGAAACTGCAACGCGCTTCGAATTACGTTCGGTACCTTCCAAGTTCCGGCAGCATCGTGAAAATCGATCTTCATCATCCGTAAAGTATTATCTAATAGTATTCAGAAGCCGGAGACGATACTGGGTAATCGTAAACTTAATTAATAATCGTTGTGAACGTTTGGTGGCCGTAGAAAATATTTATTGTATTGTCACGCACTTTGTTAATATAACAAATTTTGACAGTCATAGCAAGTCTATTGTTAACAGAAAATTTCATGTAGTGCAGAATAATTAATAAATAGATTGTGAATTTTTACGTACAATCAAACATTTATAGTATCAGTTAAAATGGAAATTATTTTTATCTTTTAAGCATGCAATACACATTCAGTTTTTGTATTCTAAACATTTTTATACATTAGATGATATGTTTATATATGTTTTTATAAATGCATAAAATAACAGAAAGAAATATATGAGGATGTCACTTTTTCCTGTTTTTTACTCGTAAACAGTCGATTCTTTTCACGTATCGAGTAAACTCAACTCGAGAGAATCAATTTCTTGCATCGACGAATGCATTGGGAATTTAAATACGTTGCGCAAACGCGAGAAACGGCAATCCTCGAATATCCCCGGTCGCGAATGAAATGCCGTCAATCGTTCTTAGCTTTCGTTCCACCCTGTTCGTTGCTCGTCGTTCAGAAAATGATCCCCGTAGCGAGTTAACGCCATAGGGTGTAGAAGGCCATGAGAAGAAGAAGACGAAAAAGAACCTGTTTTCTCCGAAGGAGCATTTAGCCCCGAAGGTGTACCTGTTCGCTTTAATTCCGCCGCAGTAGGACCTGCTCGCTCGCTGTCTGCCTGCTTGTCCCTCGTATACCTGCCGAGCCCTTTTCTCATTTCAGCCGTTCATTTTTAGATCTCGTCTCGCGGAAAGTGACCAGGATAAATCAATCGTCGACGCTACTTATCGTATCGTCTACTCTTTGTATCTTTTTTCCGATGATTGTGCTTCTGAGGGAATTAAAATTTCATTGTTTCTACAGGAATCGAAATTGATAGTACAAATATAGAAAATACTCAGCTTCTGATACTGTAATTTATTCATAACTATCAAATTGTACAAAATTCGTTACTTCACTTTTAGTTCACTTTGATTGACATACATTACCAAGCACTTTACGTTAGTATTAAACGCTGTCACCTTATCAAAGTTTCATTTGTCAGTATCGATTGGTTATATTATCAGAGAAACACTATTCCGAAAATACGGGAAAACCTTTTATGAAATTTTGATTGACAATAAGCGTTATGTTTATTGCAGATCTGTCACTCATCACATGTGAATTACGTATTAAAACCAAACGACAATTTAAGTTTCAATTTACAGCGTCAATTGGAAATGTTTCCTTAAGCAAGTCACTCTTCGTGCATTTAACGTGCAAAACGGGTCGCTAAACTTTTACTTCATTGTGATATACGATCTTCTCTCGACGTCTCTCACTGAACTCTTCGACCCTCAGGGCACTTTCAGCTCTAGAACTTCTCGCTTCCACCCCTGTCTTCCTCTTCTTCACCTGTTTCCTGTTCTCTTTTTCCGATGAATTTCTCTTTCTTCTCTCGTCTTTCTTCGGCTTCTCTTCCTTCCCGCGTTAGTTGCCTTCTTTCGCTTCAAGCCTTGCTCGTTCTCTGACTTTCTTTTCCCCCCGTCCTTTTGTTTATTCCTCTCTTTACCGACCGCTTTCCTTTATTTGACTTTTTTCTCCTTTTCTTCACTTTGATTTAGTCCCCTTTCAAGTCTCCCTTCTTAATCTCTGTCCCGTTCCACCGCCCTTATGAATTTTCCTTTGCCCCCTTTTTGCCACTTCCTTTTTTTTTAATACTTCATCTCCACTTAAATAGTTTCTCGCACGAGTCTTCTCGTTAGTTCCTTCTCGCAGTCTCTCGTGGATTTCCCTTTTAATTTATTTTTTGTCACCGGTTCTCATGCCGTAATTTGTCTGCAGATACAGTTTTCGCCCTTTGATCCCCGCGTCTGTCGCTTTTACCCGAGCGACTGGTTTCCTTGGCTGCCTCGACGCCAACTTCCGGATTACGAGATTAGTTGCGTAACAGGCTTCGGGACTTGGGATAAGTTATTTAACGGCGCGGCTCGGCGGCCCGCGAATCGGTACGCGCTTTGCATTATTTACACGCCGGTTTCGTCTCACGCAATTCTCTGTTCTCCGACTCCGACTATCGGTATTCCGCGACACTAGTTTGCTCGATAATCGACGTTCGCAGCCACGTTAAACACCGCGTTTTATCTCATGTAGCTTAACACGGCGTTTATATCTTTTATACCGCAACCGCGTTGCGGTCTTCATTAAAAGATTTCAAAAGCGATATCGTTTCAAATTATCATTAACAGAATATTATATAAAAATATATAATTACGGTATACAGTCCTGCTTCATGAATTTAATAGAAATTTAACAAAACTTTTGAATTGTAAGGAATGAATCGAGATAGTAGCAAAGATGAATGAAAATGGCCGAATGCTGTCCCTGAATGAGTCAGAGAGGTCGAGCGCGAGTGTACGTGCACGGTGGCTCCGTGATTTTCACGTGGCCGCTCGTAAATCTCGGTTACTCGAGCCACCGCGAGGGAGGGTGGAACGGAGTGATTATTTTCTAAGAACCTCGTCGACGAAAATTTAGTCTTACCGGGATGATGTCTTTCGCAGTTGTGGAAAAGTAGACCGCCGGTTTTTTCCAGCCTCTTCGGTCGTTGCTAATTTAAGACGGAATAGGGTCTGGCTTTATATTTGGAGGAACGAGAACGGCTCTGCATACCACGTTCCCTTTCCTCGCGAGGATTTCTCTGCACTGCTTGTGGACAGCCGTCCATCGGGTACCGTTAATCCGAACCACAATAGCCGAGAGACGCTGTTGAACCGAGACTTCGTGAATCTGTCACGAGCTTGCAATGAAGTTTCCCGACAGGTATACCCGCGCCTCGTGGCCTGACCTGACGTTCGATCGACAAGTGTCTTTATGATGAATAAAAGGATATTACGTTAAAGGAATATTCGTCTCCTATGTGTAATCTTAATAAATTCACTTTCTCGGATTATACTTATAATTTCTGTAGATAATTATGTAATTCTTTGAATAAAAAGCGACATTACACAATTGTTTCTTAGCCCAAAGAACGAGAAATACAATTCTTAAAATTCTGTGTGTGAGAAGCATTTCAAGATATTCTAAGCAACAGACATTCATAGTTATTTGAATTTTCTATCACGTTTAACTGGTAGAGATTATAATTTATATAACATTTAATATGTAGACGTCTCAGCATCTAATCTAATAAGTAGGCGATAAAAAACGGACGCGACAACCCAACCTATTCACGCGCAGCGCGAACTACCGAACCGGGTGTCGTTGTCCCATATTCAGGCGAAACCAGTCGAACTGGTGGCTGTTGAAAATCACGTTTCAGCGTTCCACGATCCTTCGATTTTCCGTATCGCGAGAATACATGATAACGAGCCTGAACGACGAATCCGGTGATTAGGATTAACCGACGATTGTTCCTCGACCATCAGACACGACAAAAGAATAGAAATCCTTATAGGTTTAATTGAAATCACACCAGTGAGATCTACATATATAGCAAATAGAATTAGAACAGTAAAATTTGCGACACAATTTAGATTTGTCTACAGATAATGTTATGATATTAGAGTGTAGATTTTATGCATTCGAATAAAAATTTCATATATAGAAAGCATGCATGTTAGGCATGTAACGTGCAACATGTACATAAAAATAAATTATTATTTTTGAATGCTATGAAAATTCTCTATTTAGAATCTTTTATTTTTTATCTTGCACGAGAATTTACAGTTTAATTATAATGAACAGTTTTCAATTTGAACTGTAACAAATAAACAGCTCTTTGCCTATCGATCTGGTGTATGCATTAACCAGCTCGCTCGAACATTGCGGCGCACTATTGTGAACCAGTTGAAAATCAATAATTTCGCGGGTCGCGATCAATGGCTAATGGAGCGAGAACGAGTGGCGCGAAAATTTTTGCGGATAGTCGTGTATGCATAAGTGACGCGCACAATTTCCCTGTAAAATATTCACAGAACGACGGCGGCGGCGAAGTAAATTTTCCATGGGGCATGGCTATTAACGGAACGGGCTCGTTTCGTTGCGCCTTTAGCGGCCGGAGTAAATTGCCTATAATTTGAACACCCTCGAAAATTCATTGGGGAAATGCGACGCGAAAAGTCGACCCGTGGGCTCGCGGCACCGGTCATTTCGCGTATAGAAATAATTCATTTAGAAAACGAGGTCCGGCCCGAATTTGCGACCGGCTCTGTTTGCTCTGCCGCTCGCGAAACGCGCAATAACCCTTTTATCGGTCCCCCCTTCGCTCGTTTGCGAACCAACGCCGCGCGCATAACAAACATTCCCCACCTCGATCCGTTATTTGTCAGCCTACGAGCGAATTTTCTTTGAACCTCTGGGATATTGGCGATTTTCTATTTTTCCTCTAGAGGAATGAACTTATACTGGAATTTTGAAACCTTGATACATAGCCATTTCGACATCATCGAGATTTCTTATTTGGTAAGGTCACTTGAAGTGCGTTAATTGTTGCAGATGCCTCGTCGTCAAACGAAGCCGTGCACCTGCAGCAGCGCCTCAGGAGCCTGAGCACGGAGCTGAGCACGCTGAGGAATCGGCTGCACGTTAATCAGCCGCCGAACAATTCAGGTCCGAACGGCGGCGCCGCGGCGCCGTTGTCGAAGAGCCCGGAAAAGGGTGGCGTACCGTCGTCGCCGGCGCCCGCTGTGCCGCCGAGGACCACGCTTCCTGTTTCCGGCACGCTGCCCCACGGCCTCGGGCATCCTTCGGGGCACACGTTGACGGCGTCCGCGATCGTTCATCCGCACGTCAATCACGCCGGTGCGAACACGCTCGGCCACAACTCGACCGCAGCTAATAATTTAATATCCGGTTAGTATGTCGTGATGCGACATCTGCTGACGTTCCTATGCTCGATATAGAATTCCCCGATGCTGCATCGATCAAGAATCGCGAATTTGTAACTTGTACAATAACAAGAATGCCTCCATTATCATTTAATCCATTCTATCGCGTACCAGCGAAAAAATAATACTAAAGAGTGGTAGTGTCTGTGTAATCGTAGAGACAACGAATGCGGCCCAATGGGGCTTAAAACGTAGTCGGCAATCGCTCCTTTCGGAGGTAATCGTCACCAAAGAAGTCAGTCCAGCATCGACGATTGTTCTGCTTTTTAGCAATTCATACTTCAGTAGCAATTTATTCTAAAAGGCGTCAGTAATTTCAGACTTTTTCGTGCGACACAAAATCCCATAAGACTGCAACTCTTTAGTAATCCCTCCTCGGCGCGTGTACCAATAAAATAAAGGAGATAGATACGGGATTCAGAATCACGGAAATTGGCTTAAGATTTCTGATCGTGAAAGTTTTTATTAAAAACTCGAGTAAATGCGCATTCATGAGAGTTGCTTTCATTATATCAATTAAATCGCGAGTATTGTATCCCAGAGATATTTTCACTTTGCCTACCTGCATAATACCCGTTGCATCATTCCGTATTTATCGCGATCACTCGAGCCTGTCGACGGAATATTTGCCGTGGGATTTACATAACTTCTATGGAAAAGATTATAATCAGAGATGCGACGCGTTCTGCCGATTATTGGCGGATAAAAACGAATCATTTTATTATATATTGCTTGTGTGAGAATAATATGATTACGTGTTTGGAAGAACTAGAGGAAAAATAGAAAATCGTACTAAGCTACAGATATTAACGACCTGCAATCTGAATTGTAAATCCATGGGGGAAAATCAACAAAGAATATTTTACACGATTTCCAAACTTTTGGTCAGCCGTGTACACACGATGGCTGCGCCGTTTGCGTGGACATTCATCGAATTTTCGGAGGGTCCCTCGTTAATATTTAAACAGCTCGTAATATCGCGATTACGTTAATCTGGCGCACGCTGGGTGCAACGCGCGGACGCAGCTTTTTCGACCCCACGATGCGCGAGAGACGATGTTTTAAATAAGCAGAGCCGCTGCCCGCGAAATCATCGAAACAGTAAACGCATCTGTTTACAGTTCTGCTATTTCCGATTATTGGCTACGTTTTATGATTTATTTACCGTATCTCTAGCCAGGAACTTGCCTCATACAGTTCATTTTTTTTTTCGTTTGCTAGCTCGTTCGATGAAACAAAAATACTGAAACGCGATTTACTCCAATATATATAAAACGCAACTGCTATCGATCGGTGTTATATTAAAACCGACTGTTCATTTTTAATGGTGAACAATAGTGTGATTGGCTGTGCTTTCTCTTGCGAACAGACTTGGATTCATCTAAGCGGCACAATGGGATCCCGGATGATGGGATGGTGTCTTGCGTAACGGCGCTGGGCTGTTTACGCTCGCCGCCGATCTCGAGTATAATCGCGGACGTGAAAAACGCGAAGAGTAACCAGGGCCAGCATCGATGTCTCTCAAAAGGTGCCTCCTCTGGGCCCGTCGCGTCCACGGCCTTGGACGACCTCATCCACCTCCCTGGTCCCTTGACGGAGGACGCCGTGCTCAAGTGCCTGCAAGCTCGGTTTTGCGCCAAGCAATATCACGTGAGTACATTTATATTTTTTTTTAGCATTTTTGATTTTGAATCAGTAGAGGCTTATATCAGAGTTTAAAGGGGCAGGTAAAAAAGGCAAAATTTATCTTCATCTTTGTCTTCTCAGTGAAATTATAATAATGTTATTATTAAATTGTAACGCTTTGCAAAAGTGTATCACAGTGTTGATTTTGAAGTTGTAACACTATTCAGTATTTCGTAATCTTTGCAAATCTCGGCTAATCGAACTGCAAATTCTTCGCTGTTCGCCAATTGAATGGGTCGGGTGCATCAATCACTCGAGGGTTCGATAGCGTCGACAGGACTTGATAAGTTCTCGGTACTTCTAATTGAGATGAATGCACCATGGTTCGTTTAATGTGTTAGCGATTCCTTGGAACTACGTATATTCACTTGTATAAGAATGCTAATTGTTGGATAAATTCTCAATTATCTTTCGAATCGGTATTCTCACGAGTGGTAGCCACTAACTATGAACCTACAAGAGGTCCTGAGGTTCATTATTTCTGAGTATCGATTATGGGTACTCGTGATTGTCGAATTTAACGAAGCCTAAAAGTATCCCCTTCAGTGACAGTCGCGCTCCAAAGAGAAACCTCGAGTTTCTCAATAGGTCGTCGAGGCGATAGAAAGGGACGCCTCGGGTGAAAAATAATGCCGAACCTGTGCTGGCCGTGAAAGGATATCGTGCGGTTCAATTGGAGTTACTCGAATTGCTTCTGATAGATGTAAAGAGTGCAGCTTTCCGGCTATCATAATTAATGTTCACTACTTCATAAAATTTCCCCTAGCTTCTTTGCTTTACTTATTTGTTTTAGGTTTTTCATTCAGTAACTAGAAAATAAGTGATAGTAAACTTTGTTCGTTTTAAGGGGGATTGACATGTTCTATAACTTCTTCCAATTGTAGTAAATAATTTTATTACATATTTGTAACAGGAAAATGTATTTGTTACGAGGCAAGAATTTGTTGAGGTAGTAAAACGATCGGATACCGAGTTATTCGAATAACGGGTGTTTAAATATAAAAATAAAAGAGTCGTCGAGTTTAAATTTCAACGGGGATATCTAAGCTCGATTATTATACAGCTCGTAAGCTCGAACCAGAAGGGGAATCGTGGCGAGGCATCGGAGAGGCCACGGGGCCCGACTTGGGACCGGTTCTCAGACTCCCCACTCGGCCCTCGATCGTTTTTACCTTTTTGTTCATCCTGCACGCCATTGCTTTCTCTAGTCGGGCTTCTAATAGGAGCCTAACCCGCCAAAGCCTCGCCGCTCGTAGCCTGTTGCACCAAACTACGTTTGCCTCTCTCGCCTTCTCCAGCGTTCTTCTAACTCTAACTGTATCGACTATCGTTTTTTATCGATCTACTTTTACTTCTTATACATGAACGATTTAAGGATCTATGGAATTTCCTTCATAAATAATTCAGGAACCAAATAAATTCTCGATGGAAAATGTTGAGACAATTTAACTAAACAACTCCACTGTCCGCCATTTACTTTCTGCTTTTTATCGTGATCAAAACGATCTCATAGTCACCGGTGATGGGAATACGTGGTAACAAAGACAAGATGGATGTTCCGTGTACCAACTCGGCGTAATCAGCCCCGTAAGATCGAGCCGCGATCAATCTTCCCGTTGGGTTCGCTGCAAACCATGACTCTAAGCATCCATAATCCGCTCGTCCGATATGCAATAACAATCGCAAAAAACGGCTGGCTGGCACGGTTGCAACCGGGAAAAGTAGTTCCATCTTCACGGTAGTCTCTAGCCTGTGCCAGCCGTGCGTCGGGAAGCTTTGAGCAGTAAATTATCGAAACTGCGCGTCGTTTCAGACGAACGTGGGCCCTATATTGGTCTGTATCAATCCATATACGGATGTCGGAAACCCATTGACCTTAACGAGCACCAGGGCCGTGCCTTTAGCGCCCCAGTTGAACAAAGTTGTTCAGGAGGCTGTGCGACAACAGTCGGAAACTGGATATCCGCAGGCCATCATTTTATCCGGTAAACATTATACTCAGTTTAAAGGGTTGAGATATAGAGGGTTAAAAGAGAATGGGATGTCAAGGTGCTTATGCGGATTTGTTGCTACTCAGGAACGAGCGGTTCCGGGAAAACATACGCCTCCATGCTGTTGCTCAGGCAGCTGTTCGACGTTGCCGGCGGTGGACCAGAAACGGACGCCTTCAAACATTTAGCGGCGGCGTTCACGGTTCTCAGGTCTCTCGGCTCCGCGAAGACCGCGACCAACTCCGAAAGTTCTAGGATAGTACGTAAAGACAAATTCTCTTTTATGATTTACTTCCGGCAGAAGAACAGTTGAATTGAAGGGGTTGTCTCCCTAGGGCCATTTTATTGAGGTCCAGGTAACGGATGGCGCTTTGTACAGAACGAAGATTCATTGCTATTTCTTGGATCAGACCAGAGTCATCAGGCCTTTGCCGGACGAGAAAAACTATCATATATTTTACCAAATGCTGGCTGGCTTGTCGCACGAGGAAAGAGGTAGAGGATTTATATTCCTTTTATACTCTTGTATGATTGTCTGATCGATTTTTCAACTTTGTGTAAAACTTTGACGACAGTCAAGCTCAATTTGGAAGGCTACAACTTGAAGAACCTCAGGTATCTCCAGCATGGCGACACAAGGCAGGACGAGGCCAAAGACGCGATTAGGTTTCAAGCGTGGAAAGCTTGTTTAGGTATGCGTCTGTCTATAATTTAACAATTTTCGCAATATTCTTCTTCTCAATTATTTCAAAGATACGCAACATGTGAGTTTAACGGGAATATTTGCATGAACTTTACAATGAATTCACAGGTCTGCTAGGTATACCCTTCTTAGACGTGGTCCGAGTTTTGGCAGCAGTGTTAATTCTCGGGAACGTGGGTTTCACCGACCGTCCGGGAATGGAAGTGGGTGTTATAGGAGAGAACGAATTGGCCTCCGTGGCAGCTCTCCTCGGCGTACCACCGCCGGCGCTGCTCAGAGGTCTCACCTCGAGGACGCACAATGCTCGCGGCCAGCTGGTGAAATCGGTCTGCGACGCGAATATGGTACTGTTAATTCATTCCGTGCAATCTGTGATGTAAACGGCGGACAGTAATAGCGGAACCATGTTGAAGGGTGTTTGTTTATACAGTCTAACATGACCAGGGACTCGCTGGCCAAAGCCCTCTATTGCCGGACCGTGGCTACGATCGTCAGAAGGGCGAACAGCCTGAAGAGATTAGGTTCCACCCTTGGTACATTGTCCTCGGACTCGAACGAGTCCGTTCACAATCAGGCCGAGGTTACCAGTCAGCATGCGTCTACCATTGGCAGTTCCGCAGGTACGTGAAATTAATCATCATTAAAAATCTCTTGTTCTAGAGAATGTGTGTTAATATCCTCGTAACTTTTCTGTAAGTTAGAAAGACTATCGTGCTATCTTAATTAATAAATAGATTCAGGACAACTTAGCACGCCAACAAAAATTGTTTAAGGCTTATTACTAGTTTTATCTGTCCCATTATCCCGAGACTCGTTCTTTTTTCGTATCGGCCTTAGAATCTCTCGTGTCACGCGCAGGTGGTACCGGTTCTAGGAGCATGACCGCGTTGAACAACGCGGTGCGACACGCGACGGACGGGTTCATCGGGATCCTGGACATGTTCGGGTTCGAGGACCCGAAACCGAGCCAGCTCGAGCATCTGTGCATCAATCTGTGCGCCGAGACGATGCAACACTTCTACAACACGCACATATTCAAGAGCTCGATCGAAAGTTGCCGGGACGAGGGTATCCGCTGCGACGTGGAGGTCGACTACGTCGACAACGTTCCATGCATCGATCTTATCTCCTCTTTGGTGAGTGTTAGAACAATTAGTATTTAATAAAATCAATAAAAAGTCGATTTCAATTTATAATTATAATATTTCGATTCTCTCCAATTCGCGCTTATAGTTTGAGATTCGGAAAACTATTTGAATTTATTCACTGCCTTTGCGATATCATTTGATTTTAAGTAAAAATGTAACATCTAGCGTGAACATTTTGCGGCTGTTCGCAGAGAACGGGTCTGTTGAGCATGCTGGACGTGGAATGCTCAATACGCGGCACCACCGAAAGCTACGTGGCGAAAGTGAAGGTTCAGCACAAGCACAACCCGCGATTGTTCGAGCCGAGGACCGTCGATTGCAGGTCCTTCGGGATTCAGCATTTCGCTGGCAGAGTGACGTACGACGCGTCCGATTTTCTAGGTATGTTACATTACCATACACTAAATACTTGAAGATTTGAAAATGGTGGTACTTGTAAATTTCGATTAAAAATCCTTGAGAGCACCACGTAATACAGATAATATCTCTATAAAGATACCAACAAGGACGTGGTACCGGATGATCTGGTGGCCGTGTTTTACAAACATTCCTGCAGCTTCGGTTTCGCAACTCATCTATTCGGCAGCGAGCTTAAAGCTCTTTACGCGAGCGACACCGTGCCCAGAGGTGTCAGTTTCAGGATATCGCCCACGTCTCACACTGATTTGTAAGATATCTTTTTAATGGAATGCGTGAGAACAAGACGAACGGAGAGACCCAACGAATAACATTTATTCTCAGACTGAACGGGGACGAGCCGATCTCGACGCTGACACAAGACTTCCACACGAGGCTAGACAATCTGTTGAGGACTCTGGTCCACGCAAGACCGCACTTCGTCAGGTGCATTAGGAGCAACGGCACTGAGACCCCGCTACATCTGGATAGGGGCGTTACAATGCGTCAGATACGATCGCTCCAGGTGCTTGAAACGGTGAACTTGATGGCTGGTGGTACGTTTCAAAACTCCTCCATGATCTCTTTTAAACGCAGCAATATACGTCAGTAATTAAATAAAAATTTAATTTCCACTTATTTGAACGAATTAAGAAAAAATTCTATTTCTTTCAGTACTTTCTTTTAAACCTCTTACGTTCGTTCTCATTCCGAATCTTAAAGGAACAATTGCGTTTTCTTATGTATTTAAAGATAATTCAGATAACTAGAAGCCATCGACTGGAACAAATTGCAGGCTATCCGCATCGGATGCGGTTCAAGGCGTTTAACGCGAGGTACAGGCTGATCGCGCCGTTCAAGCAGCTTCGCCGAGCCGAGGAGCAAGCGGTGGAGGATACGAAATTGATCCTGCAAAACGCGCAACAATTGAAAAGTAAATTCGGCGCGAGCACTAGTTGGGCGCTGGGCAAGAGGCACATATTCCTGAGCGAGGGCATTAGGCAGCAGCTTGAGAATCTTCGCTCGGAAATACGCAGGAAAGCAGCTACTGTCATACAGGTAACAGATCATCTCTCCCATAAAATCAATAAAAACATCCTTCGCTAACGTGTCAAGTTATCTCGAGGAAATCACAATTATTTGCATAGTTAAGAGCTTTAGCTCTGCATTTAACCTTTGGCTTTCCTTCTAAAAGCAGTGTCAGGAAGGATTGAGGAAATCACGGTTATCTCTTTATTTCAAATCAGGCTACGTGGAGAGGGTGGCGAGTGCGGAGGAGGTGGCCGTTGAGGAAAACCACGATAGGCGTAACGCCCGGCATCGGGCAGAAGAAGCCTCAGCAACCCACGGGAACCGTTCAAAGGAACGTGACCACTGGCACGGGGACCGGAACCGGAACGCGACCAAGGCCGCAACCGATAGCCGGCACTCCACCCCCAGATCCATCGGACAAGTGTGCGGATCAGAAGATGATACAGCAAACGTGTACCTTGTTCGGATTGGATTTGGTAAGGAGGCTCCCTTTCCTAAAAATTCTCATTGAGCTTGTTTTAAGATCGTGAAACGAGGTTGGAAGTTTGGAACTCGGTTGCAGGAACGACCACCGCCAGTTCCGCCAAGCAGATCCTACACCGTCACCGGAAACACGAAGTTGGGCTACCCGCAGACGAGGATCATGAAAATGCCCTTTCCAGGTAAGAAAATCGTAAGAATGTAAATCTTCCATAATTATCAAGCACGGACGTTGCACTATTTTGTCTTTTTAATCATATCTGCACGGATTATTGTTTAGAAACTGTGAATTCTAAAGGATCATTATTGATTTCATACGCTATTTTTATTAGATTATCTAGATCATTGTTACATGGCCTAATTGTGTAAAAGTAAAGCATAGTCCTTTGAGTGAAAATACTTTGATTCGTCATTGTAAGTTTTTCCTGGAGTTATAGCGATGCGCATTTGGTCCTGCTTTCCAAATACGGGTTCGAGTTATTGTTCTTTCAGAAGAGGGTGAAGGGGAAGTGGTTCTACTAAAAGGTGAAACCGTTTTGGTAGTGGGCGCGTCTCCCAGGCGTGGTCACTTGATGGTGGAGCACAACAACACCACCCTCCACGTGCCGTATCAGTTCATGGAACTGAAGCCTTGTAATATCAATGTCTGAACGCGATATTTACTTCCGAGCCGCTCGTACGGCCCCGTACTTCGATACAGATTCGATTTTATGAGGTTCTTGGTATACATAGAAATTAAAATTTCGATTTGGGTTGCCAAAGGTGATTAAAAAATTCCGTGAAAGTAAATGGAGAATGGAAGAATGTGTAACTATGAATTTGCTTTCTCTAATTTAAAAGAACAATTGCGATGAGAGAACTTTTCCATCTTACAATTCAAACAGTAACCCATCGTTATGCTAACTTTCCTCGGTAAATCCTTCCTCGTACTTCCTCTATTTTTTCCAAGGTCGAAAATAAGTAACCGGAAGAGGAAGTGAAAGTGTTGTACGTGGCGTGGGTGAGCGGTGAGAGAATGCCGATAAGATTAGAATTAGAAGCGCGCGAACCAGGACAGTGAACTTTGTCCTTTAATTAATTACACGCCGGGCCTAGCAAGCTTCACGCGGAAGTCGGTACACCAGTGCTTATCGCCCCCTTCCCTCGGCCCCCTCCATTTGTGTGGGTGGCGGTCACCCTTCACGTTCGTCTTCCATGTAGATAAGTATGCGCGCATTTTCGTATCGGTAAACGCGTTTAACGCGCGATTAGGTTCTGCGCGAGTGTACGCGGTAGAGAATATTCACCAACAGTATTCCTTCGTCTGTCTTCATTTGAATTCTTAGTGCCAATCCCTAGAGAGAAGTCTGTCATCTACGGTAAAACGACCAAATTCTGTCTAATTAAGAAGATCAAATCAACCTGACGATCAAATAAACAATTACTGATCTCAGGATATTTGAAGTCTCGTATCGTAGATTTTGACAGTGTCTTGGAACGAATATGTCGAATCTGGAAATAGAATTTGGTCGTTTTATATCGTATTCGTGTATTATATGATTAAGTGAATCGATTTCGTAAGACAGCTCGAGATATTTTTATAGACTTATTTGGCAGTTTACTTTATAATAATTGTAAGACGATAATCATAAGACGCAAGAGCAGTTGTAACATCGGATGGGGAAATAGTTGGATAGAGGAGAGGTAGAACGCGGTTTGTAGATACATTATACACGGAAACTCGTTCGGTTAGAAACGATAAGCGTCCGCTGAGAGGTGGAACAGAAGAGAAACTCTGTCGAGTTCAGCGTCTCGAGAATATGTACATATAAGAGTATGTATGCTGAATGTTACGTAGTTTACAAATATCGGTGTTGATACATGCGTATAGATAGCTTGTAAATGCGCCGAGATATTTTTGAATAAAATATAAGCGATTTTAAAAACGTTTCTCCAAGTACGTATCCATAATTCCGAATAAAAATCATCTACCTTTTCATATATAAAGCGTCTTCAAAAATATTTACATGCACAACGTTCTCTTTACTCTATCAAAAAATTTAATATTGAAACGAAATTGTTACTATGTATTTTATCTTCAATTTATTTTTTTAGTACACAGTGGATGATTCAATTTGTGAGATTCATAACTCGTTTTACAATTTTCCCTGGAATTTAACATTCCGACGTCGACCGTTAACAAGCCGTAATCTCAAATTCCTCGGCATCAACGATTTTCCCAAGCGGAAGGGTAAAGAGCAAACTGGACGTCAAAGAGGCAAACTTATCGCGTCATCGCCTACTTGTTCGACGCACACGTGACCGCGCACGTGCGAGTGCACGCGTGGCCCACGCCTGCCATGAAAAGTTTGCACCTCCGAGCCTTAATGACAACCAGCGTCGAGGGGATCGAGAGCGATTCGCGTTCGCATTAACGAGCAGCGCGAACGATCCGGTGTTAATTAGCTTTTAATTAACATTGTTCCGGCCGGTGCCCGGTGCTGAATTTATGTAACTCAGTCGACTCGCTTACGCATGGACGGACTCCACGGTTCCCCTCGTTTGATCCGGTGGACAGGAATTTCAGCTAATTACTCATCGTTGAATATGACGCAGGAATTTTGGACACATGTCGTCAAATCTACCTGTCTTAATACTCGAGAATTATTAGAATCAATTTCGTAATATTCAAAAGTAAACTTGACGTAGAAATTATTGTAGACGCAAGGAAGCTTAATTTTAGGAAAATAATCGTTTCAAATATTGACATAAAATCGTATTGGACGCAAACGTTATAGCATACATTGCAAAGCTACTCTGAATTCGTATGTATAGCTTCGGTACATAACGGGCCAAGACGTGATGAAATATTAACGCAACATTCATAATCGCGGGTGAATGGGAATCGGTGGGCGAATCGCTGAAAATAAATGGTCTCCCACAGCGGAACCCGGTGTCGGATAATGAACAAAATAGGTTCTGTTAAATGATGAATTCCCGAGGGCGGCCACGCCTTTTGTGGCCCGCGCGGTTCCTCGTGAATTATACAGAGCGGGACGCGAACCGACAGCGCAACACTTTCACGGTTCGGGGGTGCTAATGAAATTTCGTGGCCGAGAATGGGCGCGCCGGTCGGAAACGAATACGACTCCCCGAATTTCCGGCGTCCTCGCATTGTATAGAAGAATGCCTCATTGGTCAACGTTCCAGTCCCGACCAAAATACGAGAAATAATGAGTGTAGTTTATAGTGATCAATCAGAATTTTGTAGTTTCAAACTCCCAGGATTCGCTTCTTTTTTTTTTTAAAAAAACCTACACCCATGATTCTTCAGAAACCGTTAAAATTTTAAGATCTAACGCACGTATCAAAGTGCCTGAAGCAACCGACGCTCTACTGTATTCGAGTATTGGATTCTACCGTAGATCGGGAACAGAAACAAGAAGACGTGGGGGTCGAGAACGCGACTGGAAAAACCACGAGACACAATATCGCGAATATTAAATTTCGCCCGAACGAAATTCCTTCTTTCGCACGTTCCCGTGAGATATCATCGATAACCGCGCGCGAGTTGGTGGTTTCTGCCTCATCCTCCAGGAGGTAGAGGGTTGGTCTGCCGCGGAACGATAAGGAAAATCTCTGCGGGCCGGTGAAAAACGAGTATCGTTGGTTCTCGCGGGATAAGTGCTCGTTCGCGTTCATTTCTCTTCTGTTTTGAATTAAAAGTGTTCTCTGAGATAAGAGTAATCGATATCGGAGTATTTAATTAAAAACTAAATGACTCGAGAATTATTCTTCGAAAACCGGAAATGAATTCGCGTCAGCAGCTTCGCTCTCTGTTCAGTGGCGAGGATTATTAATCTAAGAAATCATTGCGATTTCCATGAGTAGTTTAAGAAGAAATATTAAAATTCCAAACATGATGGTATTAAAATTCCTCGCACTCTTGGACGTGGACATTTCTCGAGGCAGAAAATATCTGGAAAACGTCTGAGGTCTGACCCAGTGCGCGTAGAAACTACACTACGACTTTATTACTTTTGAATTTAATATCAGCGATTATTCCTAATTTTCTTTGTCGATGGGGTTGGCTCTTTAATTCGCCAGGAATCGCGGTACGAGCATACACGCGCGTACACGATCGAACGAAATTAGAGGCGCACGTTGTCTCGACGAGCTTCGGCTCGTACAACTTGTTCGACAGCGGGATTTTTTCCTCCGACCGGCAACGAGTTGTTTGCGACACGGGACACCCATGGGAGAAAGGAAACGACCGAATCTCGGGCGTTGTAACGGGGCGGCGGCGTGTACACCGAAATAACCTCGGCCGTGTTCCGATTTGCATTTCAATCGACCACCCCCCCCATCATCCCTCCAACCCTTCCGTGCAAAAAATTCTTCCCTTGCTTCCGCTTTGATTATTGTTACGCGGTTATTACTCCCGATAATTTTTTGATTCTTTAATGAGATAGTATAATTACATCATATGCAGTATACATCGGTAGAATTCAAGTAACGCAGCGTTATCAATTTCTGTGAATATCCCATAGCTTTATGAACTTGATCGTAATCATGTTAACCATATGTTGATGTGTTCGCGGATTTATAATAATACTTTTAGTATTGAATTTATAACTTGAGCAATTCTATCATATTTATAAAATGAAAACAGAAAACAAAGCATTATTTCCATAAACATTTGTCAGTGTCTTGTCTATTGTGGCTAAATTTAATTATAAAAATTATAATCGTACATGTCGTTTTATTTTCGAGTGTCGAATGAAAGTAGGAGTGAACAATGTGGAAAGTTTGTACATGAACTGAACGAAATTTCGTTTGCACGGGAGGAATTTATTGGATTCGTGCATGAAACGTTGCATGTTGCATCGCCGTATCTTTAACGATTAGGTAACGAGTCCAGAGTCGTGGACCTCCCACAAAAATTGCTCTTTTATCCTGACCTATACACCGAACAAGCTACACGCCATTTTTTCAAGTATACCGCCTCGCAAGGTCGCAACACTTCCAACGAATCCTGTTGTCCTCCATGCTCGCACACGTGTTCGGGATAGAAAACTTGATTGGCAGCGTGATTTCGACATTTTCGGGGTGAAAACGATAGATCAGCCGTCGAGATAGGAAGGAATTTGGCGAAATCGAAATTACGCTGCAGTGGGACGGCCGGCAGAGATAGCAGAGTCAAATTTGCATTTCGATCGAACGTTTCTTGCCGGGGCGAGCGACAAAAAGCACAGAATTATCGCGTAGCCAGCGTCAAGGCAAAGCCCCGGAACCGATGCGGCGCGACGTCGCATCGGTCGATCACCTATCCTGGAAAGCTTCGCGTAAAACTACGCTCGTTTCTCTCTGATACGATGTACGTGAAACGACACGAGGCGAGAATTGATCGATAGCTCTTTCGGCGTTGCGGATGCACCAAGCTTCGGCAGCAACGAAATCGGATTTCCCATAATGAAATTACGATTTTTCATTAAAAATTTTCCGTACTGAACGGAAAAAATTCAATGACAATTAGAATTTTTCATCAGGAGGAATGAAAATCACATAAACCGGAGTATCGAAGACGGTAGTGCATTTTCGCTCTAAATATAAAGTTACCAATTAGATTATTCTCGTCTAGAGTGGACAATTTCGAATCCGGTTCTAATCGCGAGATCTATGATCCTAATTTGAAGCCTGAAGCTTCTACTAGTATCCCATTACCGTTTCAATTATTCATGCGTCCAAACATTATTCTGATCTTAAATATCTAAAGTTATCCAAGTCACGAACTTAAGAGAGACCGCTTATAGTGTTAAATAAATAAATCACGGATTTTTATGCAAAATAAATCATTTATGGTAGTTATTTAAAAAATCCAATTCAGATTTAAATTTCTTTTATCATTTAAACATTGCAATTTTATAGTTTTTGCATAAAATCTGTTAATAACATATACATTTATGTAATATATACAAATAAAATTGTAAAATTGTACTGTCATCGTTCGAATCCTATGCCTGCGTACAATCTGTAGAATTCTATTTTGGCGATGTACACGAGAAGCATCATTATCATTACCAGTTGTATTCCGGCAGAAGGCCAGAGAATTTCCCCTAGAAACACGAATGGCTAAATTGCCGTGAAGCAACCCGGGGAACACGAAGCGGATCGTAAAATTACAAGCGGCGGTCGGATTTTTAATTACCGGAATTCTAGAGTTCAATTTCGCCGTGTCAAGGATATTCTATACCACTAATATCGACTTTCTTCTCAAGAACAATTTATTATTATAACTTCAGGTATCCCCGGGCTCCGCGACGTCGTAATTGCGAAGCTGGTCAGACGCGGGGGTGGAAATTCTATAGAATAAACGTATCATTACCAGTTTCCGTGATGCCGGATAACGGAGCTGAATTATACGCGGCTGTTAGCCAGTTTTTATGATCTTTTAAAACATTCTGCCCGCGAGGCGTGGTCACGGGGATTAGAGGGTGGAGGGATAAAACAGACGGTTGGTTAAATGAAGGGGTTACGTTATCGCGACCCGGCACGTTGTAAATATTCTGGCCCGTAGTTGGCAACTTTCGTGTCTTGTTGCGTTTCTCTCGATACCGAGGAGAAATTTTATTCATGTTTCAATTGGCAAATCTGATGGGCTTTACTTGAATGTTATACTTACCTGAATCATTTCCCAGAGTGCGCGTGAATGAAGAGAAGGGAATGATCGGCGACGCACGTTTTCTAACCGGTCTCATTTATTTGGTAACTCATAGATATACACGTTAACGTTCTCTTAAATCTAGAGAGAAATAAAATCGCGGGAGGACCGTGTGCCTCTCGCTTCCCCTGATGCACGGTGGGGATAAACGAGACTAAAGGGACGAAAGAAAATGAAAGGAAAGCGAGCCACGATTCGAGTCGCGTCCTAAAATCATTAGAAAAATACACGTTCATGCGCAAATAGTATATTCGAACTGAACGAGTCCCTCGTCGATGTTTCCAACAACTTATTCTTGCGCTTAACGACGTGTTCTCTCGTTCCCTAGGCGGGCGTACGTGTCTGTATAATTTGTCTATACGTATATGTACGTCCATTTGTCCGTTGTGTCTGTGTATACGCGTAAATAAATGCGTTTTCCTTTCACGACGTTCTCTGTCGACAAAAATCGTTTGGATTTAATTCGTCCCGGCGTGTCTGCTCAATTACAGGTTTTTCTACTTTTAGTAATTACCGCCTCCGCCCCCGGGGGAAAGGGGAACTTGTTGAAATTTCGACGGGCTCTCGTTTTCCCTGCATGGAAGGAGAAATCGGATTCGAATCGACAAACGAATAGATCACCGATCTTCGACCGGATAAATCCTGGCCAAATACCAGATTCGTTCATTATTTCGCGTCCCGGTTCATTTATTATTTCGTTTCACCGTAACAAAAGCGACCAAAAACTCTCTCCCCGATCCTGTTTTTCGATAGCTCTGTCAAAGGTTCGCGTCCTCCCCCTTCCCACTTGACCAAATTTATTCATCCGCCCGGCCTGTGAAATTGGCTTCTCCGCTGCGTGAAGGCAATTTAGGTAATGGGTATGATATTGCGACAAAAAGTGGGTCGGATTGTTTTCAATCGCGTGGTAACTGTCGGCTAATGCAGCACGCGCTCAGTTCGGCCATCGTACCAACGAGGTAAGCCTGTGATCGCGATAAGCGTCGATATTCGTTAAAAGCTTCGTCTGGTCCATTAATGATCTCACGTCCTGCGCAATTTTTATTGATTTCGATCTACAATCAATATTCTTGGCTCGATTTCACAGATCACGCCGGGGCTAATCATCAAACGCTCTTTTACACCGAAAAATCTACAATATACAATTTGATTCACGTGAATCTCGAAACACCAAACAGCCATCCAACCTCCCACGAAAAATCGGATAAACGTTCTAATTACCATATTCGATGTGACAAACCTTCAAACGCCGTCTGATCGAAGTCTATCTATTTATTATATTATGTACAAACGCGAATACAGATCGCTCGACGACGGATCCTTATAACATGTACATACAGTTTAAGACAATGATTCTTCACCCGTTTAGTGTCTTAATTTTCTCCAGGATAACTAATGCAATCAAAAACAGATCGATTCTTCCGACGTCTGATTTCTTTTTAATTATAGGAAATGCGTTTTTCTAAGGTACATAAACTTTTGGGATTGACTGTATAGCCAATACATCCTTAAACAATATGATGATACGTATCATTGATATGTTCCAACTGATATCGCAGTTTTTGATTACTAGACCACATATTTCATGGAAAATTGTATTTTCAGAAAATATAATATCTAAGAAGATATAGAATATCAATGATATGAAATGCACATTACAATTTTTAAATGATAAAAGAAATATCAATCTCTTTTTAATTGATTACCATAGATATTTTATTTTATATAAAAATTTGTAGTCTACTTATCATCGACTCTCTCCTGTTTAAAGATGGATGAAAAGGAATAGATCATTCTTGTACACATTCGCAGCCACTCGTACCGATACCTGGCGGCCTGGTAATGCGAATAATTCCGCCGCGTCTCGATTTACGCCTCCCTCGCGGGATAACTCGGAACTCGATAGGATTTCGGTCCTCCCTTGCCGCTCGAACTTACCTTTTCCTGACACTTTTCCTGGCTTGTTTCTGGTTCTTTCGGGTACCGTAGACATGTCGGGAATTGGGAGCGGTCGAGTTCTAACGACGGCTTATTTACAATTCGAGAGAGCTCTGGCGTATGGAACTTGGAAGCACCGAAACTTGTGGGCGAGTCGAATCGTGAAAGCAAACCGAAGGCCTCGTAACGAGAACGATCCTTGTCGAATTTCGCGACTGGAGGAAGCGAACACTCTTTTGCTTTTGTTAAAATGGACTTTGTTCCGCAGTAAGGGTTGTTTTCGTTACGGGATTGGCTTTTGATACTAAATAAGAACTTATCGCCCGTGGAAGCGAACAACGAAAGCGGAGACTCGTTTTCTCGAGCGCTCCTCGCGAGGGAATCAGTATTACACATCGACGTTTCATTGGCAACTTACACTTATTCGCGTTAAGAATACGAATCGTACAAAACAACTATTAACGTGTGCCCGTTGCTTGTTCGTTATCCAAAGTTAACAGAGTACCGGTTTTGGGTATCGCCTGAACCAAATGGAAAATCTTCTTACCTGGAAGTTTCGACTGAGATCGCTGTCTACTCTCCACAGTCTTTTCGGACGTTACGGCACTTCTTGCCGTAGTGAACCTTACCAATCCCATGGAATTCCTTCTCGTCACCATTACTTTTACCCACAGAAAGAGGGTATCGCGAGGGGCAAATGATAGAAGGGATAGCAGAGCCACTCACGTTCCTACGCGAGAAGCAACGGGCATTTGGACAGTAATCGATTAGCTCATCCAGCTAGTTTCCCCGAAATCGAAGCACTTTCGATCCGGGCCACTCACACGCGATCGCCTCTCTTAAATACACTCACTCCTTCCATTCTCTCTTTCGTTAATTCTTTTTTTACTTAGGTAGGTAGTTTTTTTTTTTTTGTTTAATTGGTTAGTTAGGCGTGTTGATTAGTTTACGACTTTCCCAGCGACCTTCCCCTCTAGCGTATTTGTTGCGTGCGCGGCTATCATTTCTCCCGGAGAATCGTGCGGTGGATGGCACCGAGTCGACTGTTATTAGCCTCGTTAACTAGACTTCATATACTTTCAGTCGCGTCGAATAAGGAGTTCAGTTCTCTTGTAAACCCGGAAAAGCGGGTACGCGTATCCACCTGCCGCGGTGGATGTCACGAGTTCCAAGTACCAAGAAATTGAAATCGTGGATCTCCTTCTCTGGTCCGTCGAGCGATTCGTGGTTAATTAATTCCTGTCTCTCTATCTCATTGCATTATTGCCATCCCCTTTTCTTCTCCCTCGGCTGGTTCGGGTAGGCTCTCAGTGAAGGAAGACGCTAGTAACGGACCTGGTGGTGTGGGGTGGCAAGTCGGGGGCCTCCGTCGGGGCCCCCTCGTACCCCTATGCGCTCAAGCCCAATCGATGAATCTTCGCCGAGAGAAAGTTGTGCAGAACAAACACGATCGGCTTGGGACAGCTCTCGAGGTCCAGCTCCTGGAATTAGATCAGGAAAACGGCGTTAAATCGCCCGTGATGGAAGCAAGACTGTTTCGAAGAGGAATCGATCGCTTAATAAAAAAAATTGTACGATGTACCGGTTCTCCATTTGTAGCTTTGTTTCAGAGACTGCTCGAGTGCGGAATAATTTTTCCATCGAGACGTCTGTCGCAAGGAATTATTCCAATGCTTTTTTCTCTCTCTCTCTCTCTCTCGAGTTATTACTACCCTGACGCGTTTCATGGGAAGAAGTCGAAGCATGAATGGCTATTGAAGGAGGAAACCGGACGACGATGTTTGAGAAAGATGTAAAATACGTATTTCCGCGACTAGCAGGCGTACGGGAAAATGCGGGCTCTTTCAAAGTGACGGGCACAATAGTATAATCATCAGTGCACAGCTCTCTTTTTCACTGATGCCCGTCGAAGATAATAATCTCGATAGTCTACGCGGAGTCAATTAAAATTCTGAATACTATCCGTTCGAATAAAGGAAGCCTTTCCCTTTCTCTTCACAATAACCTTATACTATCTCAACCACTGCGTCGGACTGTCGGAACACGGTAGATACAGTTCGACGTCAGATGCTAATACTATCGTCTGATTAAATGAAACTACGGATTTCGTTTGAGGTAGATTAATCACGACCGTTGGAATAGTGTTTCTAACGTCTATCGAATCTTTATGTTGATTTATCACTCACAATTTCGCCATCGTCGCCACCGAAGTCGAGCCACAGTAAACGCGCTCCGTCGTCCGCGGACATTTTCAATTTGTCGAAGGATCTTCTCCAGAGTGGGGTCGGGGGCGAGCCTGGACTCACCCCGTTCCCACCCACACCCCTGGTCCCAGCCGCGTACAACGCAAAACCGTCCTCGTGGTTGACGACCAACTGGCAAGGTTTACCTTGCCACGTGCAACCTAAATTTTCAAATTGATAAATCAAAATTAAATTCAGCGCCATGCTGTGCATTTTTCAGTTAGATCGAATATCGCGATTGTCAATTAAAATAAAAATTATCACGATCCTGGAAATTGTTCAATCAGAATACGAGTCATCGAATTAAAAAATAATTTCCAGGTCCCCTGCCTACGAACGCAGCGGGTAATAATAAATATCGTTTCAATCACGTTCATCGCCGATTCGTAATAAAATTCTCGATAAAATCAAACTGGCGCAGCGTTTAATAGAATAATTCCGAGGAAATTACTGCGCGATTGTAAACCGAGGGCTCTAAAACCGGCAAATGAATTTTTCAGCAGACAAAGGGAATGAGAGGGGACGATATCTCTCGCAGTTTTCCATCGTCTTTTCGTTCGGTCCCAGAGGAAGCTGGCCGAACGGTGTTCATGATCGATGAGTGCGACGAGTAACGCGGGAGAAAAGGCAGGCGCGCTGTCGGCATGGGAATTAATCTCGATTTATTATTGCCGTACGTCCACGCGGTGAAAAGAAATTAAAATTCATCGAAGCGAGCGCCGGAGCGCACGGACGATTGGGAATACAGGAGATCTGTTCTGTTTCCTTTTTCCTACAGGAAGACGTATTGCATCTTTCACTTTTCTTTCGTCGCAACCAAACACGTTCATTTAATGCCGTCCCTTAGTTTTCTTTCGTTAAGGTAATCGAAAACTAATATCAATAATGGACATCGTAACGATGCGAAAAACGACGATTCCAGGGATACATTTTGAATAATTTGTTTTATATGTAAATGAAATTACTTACGAACTGTGTATTCGCGTAACGAGTGAGCGGCCGCGTGGCAGCCCTGAACGATCGCTCTGGCCCACGCTGCTAAATCCCTCCGCGTCTCGGCGCGAAGATGATGTGTCACGACACCGTCGATGGTGCCAACCCGTACCGCGAACGTCGCCCCGTGTTGCATCGGACCGCTACTGCTACTCCCTGCTTCGTTCTGCCTCGCCGGTGACGATACTAATCTGCAATCACATCAAGCAAACACCTTGTATCATATACGTGACATATCTTTTAATACGTTTTACAAATACGTAGTAAATTCAACTTATAACGTCACTTCTTGCCTCAAAAGACAAACAGTTAGAGTAAAAGAGCAGAGGATATGAAGATTTTATACGATTTTCAAGATAGACACGCATTTCTAATATTGGAAAACTTTGAATAAAATGAAAATTTTTAATATACTCGGTGCGAGGGCGGCGCGAACTGGTTCGGAAAGTAAATTACCTCGTCATGCGAGCCTGAGCTCTCGGATCGTAAAAATTGGTCGCGGCTTTATTGCCCGTGGCACGGAGCCGGCTGACACCGGCTCAGCGGAGATGCGCCCTCTTCAACCCCCTCTCACAGCGCAATCTGCCTGCTGACGAATGGTCATGACGTACGCGCGACCTCGTATGCCGGTTAGATTTATAGATTTTTTCGGGTGGAATGTTGAATAAAATGCCAACCAAAGATATAGGGAACGGCCGCTGTCGTTCAATAGGCCGGGAGTAGGTACAACCAGGAACAGAGTCGATTGTCAGATAGAGTAATACAATTAAAAAGGACGAGAAGTTGTTTTAACATTATTACGAAACCTTATTTTAAATTGAAATTTATATATTATTTACAATTAGTACGAGGAAAATTCCTCGCGTCTCACAGTGTCTAATCTTCGAAAAAGAACTTTGAACCGAGTCTATATTTCTTCTCCACCCTTCGGTAAGTAACCAGGGAAATAGAATCAATTCCCAGGCTCGGCGGCGGAACCGCCGTTACGTAACCGTAGACGGGGATTCGGCGTGCACCTGAGGGTGGATTATTCGCGTTCACCCGTTATAGGGGGTGTGCGCCGCGCAACGAATAACGTATGAGCTCCTCCGGGTGCAATCCCGGTTCGAGCGTTCCCAATGGATCGCGTTCGACGGCTTTCCCTCGCTGCGTGCCAGGTATCTACCTATCCGGGAAACGTTTTCCACTTCTGATAGTCAATGCTGGAACGTGAAACTTTTCACCGTGTGCGCGACGCACGCATAATAACGCCACGGAATAATAATGACAACTGTGGGTCCCACCGTCGCGTTCGAGTTTGAAAACCGGGAATCGATTTCGGTTCGCGGGTCAGTTCCCGGCGACGCAATGAGCGACATAACAACGAAAGCGCCCGGGTCGTCGGGTCCCGGGGATTGTTGCTTTAGTTGTTCGCCTGTTTGATTTCTATCGCAGTATTATAATATCTGGTATACCATTATAATAAATAAATAAAGCCCGATACGCTGGTTAATTTTGTAAGAGACGCGTGGCTGATCCGGATACCGTTGCATAATTAATTGGCGTATTTACTTTATGTCTCGTTCGGTCGAGCGCTAAAATTCTGCAACGAATATTAATTCGGCATTTTGGTATTATTGTAATCCGGTGAGTCGCATCGGTTTTGTACGATTAAACTATCGAAAAAAGACTTTAGGTAAGAACGTTTGAAATAATTAAACGAGCAAACAGGTGAAGGAAGAAAAGAAAAGGGCGGTGAGACGTTGGAACAAGAGAGCGGAGCACGTCGCCCTTAAGAATCGAGAACGTCGACGTAGAAACAACAGGAAGGCGAAATAGGACAGAGGAAGAAGCGACCGAAAGCCAGGCAGACGAAAGAGAAATAGTAGAACGGTGAAAAGCGAAGAAACCGGGCCGGTGGGATAGGGAAGGGTAAAAGGAAAAGCAGCGGACGGTAAATAAAGGCGTTAAACGAGAATGGATGTTCGTCCGAGGCCCGTAATCCCAGCGAAAAAGGAACGAACCAGAAGCCATGCCGGCGCGCGGTAGAAGGGGTAAACTTTCTTCCCCGTCTCTACGTGGGAAGAGAAGTGTTTCGGTCGTAGCCGAATCACTTCCGGTTTGTCTCGCAGTAAAACTTCCTTAAGTCGGTCATTTCGTAGCTACGCGGGCCCGATACCGAACCTCCTCGACCGGAAATAGCTTTTCGGTGCTCCGCTTCTCACTCCCTCGCCACCCAGCGCGCTTCGTGTATCTTACCCCCTTTCTTCCAATGTTGCGAGAGCCTTCGCTTTTTAGCCGGAACGGTTAAAAGTGGACTCGAGACGTCCGGGAAACTTTTGGGAAAAGTCATCCCCGCTCTATCCGCTCGGATAATCGGTTTAGCGGGATTAGGTTCGCTGTCCGGAGAACACTGGACAAGATTCTGCGATTCCGCATCGTATCGCTAGAGATATGGTCTTTAAAAAAATTTCAAATGAAGAATTCCAAACGTTTGAACATTTTTAGAGTGGAGCGCTTTCATCGAGTAGGATTTTCGTTTGATGGCGATATCCGCTAAAAAACTATGGCAATACATTTGAAACTATTTCGCGTAATTCAATCGTTCCCAACTATCAGAAAAGCGAAATAAGAGAAACTGTGAATTTCACAACCCGCGTTTCAGTGAAAATGTGAGCATGAACCAAGTTATTGCTAGATCAACGACCTTTCTCCTCTACCTGTCTGGTTTAAACGTTTAAACCGGTTTGCTATTTTATATGGAAACGGTGCATGCATTCGAGACACGTGATTAAAAATGAAAAAACACTCGAACATCCGTGCATGTTTGATAAGGGAAAGGCCAACTCTCTTACTCGACACTAAAAGAGGGAATCATGAAAAATTCGCGACCCTCGACCGCGCTTCATCGCTCTTCGTTTTCGGTACCTCTGTCACCGATTATCCGACTGTGCTTATTCATTATTTAACCAGTTTGTTCAAACGGAAAAATGAAGAAGGCAACAGACCATGATTGTAACAAATCATTCACCTAACTTGACAGTGACAACCTATACGAAATAGTTCCTTTAAGCATAGACAAGGATTGCCTGATTGTTCTTCAAAGTTTCCAAACAGTTAGGTTAATTAACGGAAGATAGGAAGAAAATGAGTGTTCCTGAGGAATCTCTACGATAAAAAAGTTCGAAGAAAGGAACTACGAAGCGCAACTCCGGTAAATAATGAGCGGTAATTTTTCTCGGAATTAAAAACTCGGTTGTTAAGGGCAATTAAGCAGGAAGAATTTCCCGCGGAAATCGTTTGGGAATCTGATGATAAAAAAGCGACACAAACTCCGAAGCGAGCATCAAACAGCGTCGAAAAAGGAACAGTAAAATTAGGGAAGGAAATGGCTAAGGGAAAAGTGCGAGAGAGAACGAGTTCGATTTCCAAGGATCCAAACGCAATCTCCGCTCCGGAAGATTAAGGAAATCCATGTTTCCATTGCAACAATAGAATCGTAATTTCCCCACGAAAACTGTTTTCAAAATTCAATACAAAATCAATGATAAAGAAATACATTTGGTTTTTTAAAATTATACATCCGTGTTTTTAGTGTGTTTCGTGTCACATTAGTGGAGACTTTTTTATAAAGTACGATGAAGCCGTGCGACAAGTACGGAGGGGTAATGATTTAAAGGGGCACTCGTGCATGATTCAATGGGCAAAGTGGTGGTCGTACACGTGATCATCCCCCTCGCAGAGATTTCGGCGTTAAAAATGGCCCCTGTAACAGTGTGCAACATTGTTAACGTCGCAATTGGTCGTGGCCAGCGTCCGCGCAAGCCAGCGCCGTTGGATATCACGCGTAACAAGTTGTTCAAACGGTTGATAAGCGTGTAATAAAGTTGCACGCTTTGCGCGAAACGCGAGCCACCCTTTTCGAAATAATCAGCCCTAATGAACAGCCCTCCGGACATTCCGCGAAACGAACGTATTCATAATTTTACGTCGCCTGTTCCATTGTTACGTGCACCCGTATTAATCAATCTTCGTTATCTCCAGCGAAATTTAGCGTTTGATCCTATCTAAATCAGTTATCATTCTTCGGAGCTGAAACAAACGACCGAGTCGGAGTCACGGAAATTTAAATTTCCTGCTTCCAAATTAGAATAATTGTTACAATTAGTATCTAGTAGATATAAAGCATTAAGGAAAACTTTGCAGTTATTGTTGCTTTCAAATAGATGATTATTATGGTGATAAGAGAATCACGAAGTTTATAATTTCGTGAAAATTCGATCTCTCACGGAAGTGAGACTCGCGTTGTTAATATTTATTCTCCATCGTACCTGTCCGTTCCAGGACAAATTAAATTATATCCCTCGAACCTGGAATTGCGTCTCTCACCAAAAAGTAGATAACAAAAAGTGCTGGGAACGATCGTGCGGATGAGAACGGAGAGGACGGAGGTAGAAGGAAACAGAAGGAAAACCGCGCAACTCTCGTCCCGAATATCGCGTGCTCGGATCGCACGCGCGCGATAGGAAACTGTCGACGACACCTTCAATAATTAATGCTCACCCCCGGCGGGGTCTAATTGATCCGGTTCACCGTTCGATTATCGAAACCCCATCTTTCACGCTGGACCTCACGTCTGACCTGTAACTCGCTCTCGGTATCCCATTCTCTCTCCCTCTTTTGTCTCTTCCTCCATTTTCAATCCAATCCTCCTCATTGTTCTCTTATTTACCATCCTGTTTCGTTTTGTCTGTTGAGTTTCCACACTCTTTTCTCGTTGTAAAAGTCAATTGAAAAATCGTTCAAATATCCGAGAAAATATACGCTAGCACTTGAAAACGTTCACAAACAGCTAACCGAGTTTGATTTCAACCGTCTCACGCTTCGTATTAATTTTTTTTAGAACTTTAGAGAACTCACTGGGAATTCAATTAAATATCATAATCTAGGAGGTTTCTAAAAGAATATTCCGGAGATAAAATTAATTTGAAAGTTTAATCGCTGCAACAGGCGGTAATGTTTGAAAGAATTACTCTCTCGTTTCATGCGATGGTTGTCCAAACGTAGATTAATGAAACGAAAGCGACGAGTTGTTCTCTGTACCCCGACAATTCTTTCACGATACTTTAGATTACCACCCGTTACTCCGTCTTCATAATGTTCCCGGGTCGGAAGCACCGGGAATCGAGACAAAGGAACGAGCGAATTAAGC